ATGAGCATTTGTCTACATCAATAGCCCACTTTTTGTAATGGCCAAAATTAAACTGATTGATATTTTGTGCAGCATAAAACGTATGACCATTCGGTACAATGGTCTGAAAATCAGACTATTACTTACTGGCTCTGTAGCTCTTAAGTCGATTTGGCAACTAATGGTCGTTATTTTCCCACTTAAAGAGATTTTCAAGCCCTCCTTTTTTTAGGTAAGTTCTGTATTAGTATTATCTTTCAAATGCCGTTGGAATTTAACCTTTTAATGTTGTTAGCCTGCAAATGGGACATAGTACCTTTAAATCTCCCAACTATATTATTACAATTTAATTACATTTTAGGTGAATGTAAATCATTACAAAGCAATGAATTGGCTCAATATGCATGTACCATTCCAGACATTTAAGTGTTGAAAGATTTTTTTAAAGCCTGTCTTATGTCTTCCTTTCATGGAAAAAACAGTTGGGAAAATTCAAAAATGGTTGGAAGAATGACTGTTCAAGATAATGACCAGTTCTACATGCAATTGCATTGTGAAAGAAATGTTATGGAATCGATCAGAAGAGGTTGATCATCTAGCAAATATATTGGTGTGTACTGCAAGGTTCCGGAATCATCAAAATGATAAGAAATTTGGCCCAGTCTTCGTAAAGTTACAAGCACTGTACACAGAAAGATGTATTATGGGACTACGCAAATGTGCGCAACACATGCGTTTATCTCTCACATAACAATAGGTAAACTAATTTACCAAATATATCAATTAGTAGGCGGTTTCCCGGCAAAAGTGTTATCATCCTGTATTAGTTAAAACATATTCTTTCACATGATTGGTAATAGGAGCTTCCATTTCATTTTTTGAAATTGGGGCATTTCCAATACTGGTCTTTACCTTTAAGGGTGTCGCACAGAGAAGCCTTAAAAAAACCCAAAAATATCTTTGTGGTTTGAAAAATTTTCCAGAATTTTTGGAATTTTAGAGTTAAGTGTAAGTAAATTGTAAGTAAATTAGAAGGAATATAATAATAACATTTCATACTAAAATTATGCAATTTGTTCATCAACCTTCAGCAATGTCACTGAGTCACTTTAAGAGCTAAAAATGCTAGATGAAAAATGCTGAGGCATTACGGTATAAGTATTTACATACATGAACCCTGTAGTTCTGGGTTGGTTGTCCAGGAGGCAGATGCCCAGGGGTAATTGTCCAAGGGTCAGAAGTCCGTATACGACTGCAGTCTTAAAAACGACTCAATAACAGGCCTACGTGAATTTAGATAATGGAGTCCGGGAGAACAAAAACTCAGTTTCTAAGTTTTGTGGGAGAGGTTTAAATGAACGAATTCTCCACTTCTTGTAATTATTAGACTTTCATTCTTTCATTATTGGGCCTGTGCTTTAAATCTTTTCTTAAGTTTCTGAAAGATCATTCTGAGTATCTGAAAGCCTGAAATCTCGAAAAATCATTCCGAGAGGGACACTTAAAGACACCATATAACAAAATTGTGCCTAATTTCGGCCTGCGCCACAACTTGACTGCTTATTAAAAGCACGCTAATATTCAAGTCAACTTCGTTTCTCGTTTTCTTGCAAGGTCACTTTCTAATGTGTTTGTGTAATGATTTTGATAATACAATTTCGAAGACTTCAGATTTATTTCTTGTCTGGGGGATGGAATTAAAAGGAATCAATGGCATTTTACCTAAGTATATTTACAATTTTACTTTTTAAATTGCAGTCCACCGGATGAACAGGTAGTCACAGATGCAGATATCCTGAACCTAGCAAGGCTTCTACCACCTGATCGGTGGAACCATCTTTACGTTGCTCTTCGCATCGATTACAGCATCGCTGAAGGTATCAGAGAGAGGTTTAGAGAGATATCTGAGCGGTACATAGACCTCCTTCAAACATGGAGAGCTGCATCAACTGGGACCAGAAAAGATCTAAATGCGATCCTCGTCAAGGTAGAAGCAGGAGGACTCGTAGACAAGTATTGCTACCGGTATGTGGATTAGATGTAAAACCAGTAAGAGAGAGAGAGAGAGAGAGAAAAGGGGGGGGCAAGGAGATGTGAAAAAAGAATATACATGTACAAACATCCCTTTCACACATCCTTTCCTTTAATACTTGCTGACCCTGTTGTGTTTAATAAACCAGATACCGTCCAATTACACCATAGAATAAATGGACAGTTGTCACAGAAACATATTATTATCCATAATCGTTCATCACAATGTTGTAAATTTTTTATAGATATGCAAGTTTGGCTTCTTTTTCTTTTCTTTGTTTGGGTTTTTTAATTTTTTTTTTAGGGGGGATGGTGTCTGCTTTAGAGAACAAGTTTGTTCCTCACACTACAGGGTGATATTTAGTATAGGGATATTGACTGCTTTAAGAGGTCTGGATGTTTTATATGCTCAAGGGAACACGCGCATCTCCTGCCATGCCCCTGAGGCGCGCCGAGGGGTCATGGCAGGACGTGATAGTTCCTGAGAGCATATAAACCGGCCAGACCTTGAATATTAGAGCAGTCTATATGTCTTTTATATGCCGAATTGAAACAAAAATCTGTCAAGAATTCTTCCCTTATCCTTTTATTGAGTAAAGATTGATTAAAACATCACTGAAAATCTGAAACACTGTCTGTAATCTTTGCTTGAAAATGACTGAAGGTTTCAATCATTTGAGAATCGCAGACAAAAAGCATTGTTTGGTGTCAGCGTTCGCACAAAGAACATTTTAACACGTAAACCAATGGGTATCGCAGCAAAATTGTTCTATTTTTATGGTAACCAGAACTTTGAGGGATCTCACTCTTGGACTATTAACCGGTATTGTCATTCTTCGTTTCTTTGCGGGAATGGCTAAAATCAAGACTCCAATTTCGACCAATCAGATGGCTGAATTTCTTAAGTGAGGTATATAACTCCATATACATAAGCATAAATCTTAATGAATACAGTTCACTACACACGTCCCGTTCTCGTGATCCCGTTACCTCAAGAACCGATTAATGGATTACCGCTAAACTGGGTCATGTATGTATCTTGCAGAGCTAATGAACTGATTAGATTTTGGGGTCACAAGGTCAAAGGTCACAGAGCTTTATTATGTATGCAAAAATATGTTGTGATCGCTTTATCTCAAGAACCAATTGATGGATTAGCGCCAAATTTGGGTCATGTATGTATCTTGCAGAGCCAATGATCTGATTTAGATTTTGGGGTCACAAGGTCAAAGGTTGCAGGGCTCATTATGTATGCAAAAATATGTTGTGATTGCTTTATCTCGAGAACCGAATGATGGAGTACTGCCAAACTTGGATCATAAATGTATCTTGCAGAGCCAATGAACTGATAAGATTTTAGGGTCATAATGTCAAAGTAAATAAAGTATCATACATGTACATGTATATGAAAATAGCTTGTAAATACAATATTCTGAGAACCTGTTAAAGCCTCACTGTCCTACTTGTAGCTACTTGCTACCACTATATAGAAAACAATGCCAAATCGGTGGCTATTGGTCCCCCATGATCCTCCTTTTCTTATGTTAATTGAGAGCTGAGTTGATGAGATAACCACCTGTCCAGTGAACTTGCAGGGTGGTCCTATCCCTCCTATTAGCTAGTACAGATAAGCTTTAATGGATTACAATCAAACTTAAATTTTTTAAATTGCTTCTGTTTCGGTTTGTAAAATCACTCTATGGCGGAGGCATAATTTTCTACTGTGTGCTGTCGAACATCCATCTAATTTGCAGATGTTTCCAATGGTCTTTTGAAATAGTTAAAGGTAAAGATCAGTTCTGGTCATGCGATTGCTGAGTTGATGAGATAATCACCTGTCCAGTGAACTTGCAGGGTGGTCCTATCCCTCCTATAAACTAGTACAGATAAGCTTTAATGGATTACAATCAAACTTAAATTTTTAAAATTGCTTCTGTTTCGGTTTGTAAAATCACTCTATGGCGGAGGCATAATTTTCTACTGTGTGCTTTCGAACATCCATCTAATTTGCAGATGTTTCCAATGGTCTTTTGAAATAGTTAAAGGTAAAGATCAGTTCTGGTCATGCGATTGCATTGTGAAAGAAACGTTGTTGAATCGATCAGAAAAGGTTGATCATCTAGCATATAAGTATTGGTGTGTACTGCAAGGTTCTGGAATCATCAAAATGATAAGAAAGTTGACCCAGTCTTGGTAAAGAATTACAAGCACTGTACGGGACTATGCGACACGTCATGACATGTGCGTAATATCTGTCCTGTTCAAATAGATAAAATATGTTACCAAATATATCAATTAGTAGGCGGTTTCCCGGCAAAATTTATATCATCACGTGTTAGTCAAAACATATTCTTTAACACGATTGGTAATAAGAGCTTCCATTTCATTTTTTGAGAGGGGGGTGTTTCCAAAACTGGTGTTTACCTTTAAATGATGAAAGATCTTAAATTATATCACTTCATGTAAATTCTACCTCGTCACTAAATCGTCGAGATTCATGTATTTATTTCCATTATGGAAACGGGTATTATATATTTTTTCATTTTTGTTTGTAACAATGCTTTATGTACTCTTCAACGTTTTCCAGTATATACATAGATCAGGTTTTAGGTTTGTTTAGGTACATGCTCTAGGTATTGTACAATGATAGAAAGATATTGGGAGATTTGGAAAAGATCCATTGTGGCTGGAAGCTGAACGTTTGAATATACATGTACATGATAGCTAGTAACAAATAGAAGACGAATAGAACAAGTAGACGAGATAAACATGGAATGAGAAAAAAGGGGGAGAAGTGACAATTGTGAAGATAGTAAACACATTGACGTTTAGTGGCTTTTTCTACACAGTACAAAGAGACCATCTGATTCCGCTGACTAAAAATTAGTTGGCAGGTGCTTGAATAATTATCTTCAATTTACAATTCTTGGGGGGGAGGGGGAAGGAGGTTTGGTGTTAAACTGTAAGAGCTAAAAATGCTAGATGTAAAAATGCCGAGGTATTACAGTATTAGTATTTTCATACATGAACCCTGTAGTTCTGGGTTGGTTGTCCAGGAGGTAGATGCCCAGGGGTAATTGTCCAAGGGTCAGAAGTCCGGATACGATTGCAGTCTTATACGACTCAATAACAGGCCTACGTGATGTTAGATAATGGATCCTGGGAGAACAATAACTTAGTTTCTAAATTTTGTGGAAGAGGTTTAAATGAACGAATTCTCCACTTCACGTAACTTTTAGACTTCATTCTTTCAATTTTCGGCCTGTGCTTTAAATCTCTTCTTGAGTGTCTGAAAGCCTGAAATCTCGAAAATCATTCTGAGAGGGACACTTGAAGACACTATATCAAATTTTCTAGGGAGTGGTCTATGAGGTGTTTGAAGTCAATTCCTTGCTTATCATAAAGTAGACTACATTAATCCGTACATGCTCCCCCGAGCGTTTTTGTTTAGAAAGTTGCATGTCAAAATCCATTTGTGCCAGCTTTTAGTAAAACAGTTAAAGGCTAAGTCCACTCCAGAAATAGTTTCTTTTAATAGATGCAGAAAAACAAGAGAAAAGGAGCTAAAAAAAAGTAAGTAAAATCAGATAACTATAAGGAAGTATGAAAAACTAAGGAACTTAGAAAATCACTACACAAATTACCAATTGGGTATCAGTTTGTGACGTCATTGCCTCACTATTTATCAATTGCTGTATATATTTTTATCCCATTAATTTCCCTTTTTATCCCCCAAAACTTTATTTTCCCATGCCTTTGCCCAGGTAATATAATTTGTATCATATTGCGTGCTTGACATTTCACAAATCTTTCATGAACTTTGAAGAATTGATACTCTTTTCTGAATATTGTATGTTCATAATTATTGATTTTTATATGAATCGTCTATCAAAATTCACATTATTCATGATTTAACTGAAAGAAATTACTCTATATTAGTGCATCCACACAAAAACATTTTACTATCAATATATCTTGGATGCTGGTGTGAGGAAATAAGATTTTTAGGGGGAAAATTGGAACTCTATATTAGTGCATCCACACAAAAACATTTTACTATCAATATAACTTGGATGCTGGTGTGAGGAAATAAGATTTTTAGGGGGAAAATTGGAAATTTGTATTATCAATATAAAGAAAACATTAGTGAATAGTGAGGCAATGACGTCACAGACTCTTGAGTGAGTTGCCAATTTTTCTTGGGATTTTCAAAGTTTTTCATGTCATTAAAAATTCATAACTTTCTTATTATACGATTTTGCTCAAACCTTTTTTGATTGGTTTGTCTGATTTTTCTGCTTCTATTGAAAATAATTTATTTTTGGAGTGGACTTACCATTTAAAAGGTTAGTATCACATGCGAAGATGGCCGAAGGGAAATGTATGCTTTCAAAATAATAAGAATACCGGGTAATAAGAATGGTGCTTATGAAGCGCTTACCACCGAAGACTCTAAGCGCTATAACAAACAAAATACAATGATAAACAATTACCTATTAAACATTATTTGACATAAACAATTACCTATTAAACAAACAAAAAGAAAATGCAAATACCGGTAACCCTACAAATTCCAATACATACGAAATATACATCAATGTGAACAGAGTAAGTTAATCATCGAAAAATATTTTGAAAAAATGTGTCTTAAAACAAGTTTTTGACAAAACCACTTGACTGCGGACTACATACATGGCTTTTTCAAGACCGTAGCAATGCATAAAGCCTAGCCTAGCTACTGTGTAATTAGCAATGCAATGATGTTATACAGGTCTTGAACCGTAGATGGCGCTCTTCCAAAAAGAAATCTGGTCTTTTTGTGTGCAGCGTACAATTTTTGTGTAACAGTACAAAAATGCTGTAGCACAGGGGGTTTGAACGCATTTTTAAGCCAATAGCAGTCAAGTGGTTAAAGGTACATGTAGTTTGCTCCAAAGTTCAGCAGAAGCTTTGCAGAAAGAGCAATGACCATAAAAAAGAGTTGACACCAAAGTAGACACAAGGTTTAATTTTTAAGATGACCATAGATTGCATTCACGTAAATATTAGGAGGCTGACTTGAGATGAATCATGTTCTTCATTCACATGAAATTTACGTCGTAGAGGAAATATGTTACTGTAACCCGCATTAAACCCAATAATTACGCAAATGTTACACAATAAATTAACCAAAATAATGACGTTCTCCTGTTTCTGAACATCGTGTTTTGGATCTTCCATAATTACGTCCAGGCGCGCCGGAAGCAGTTTTGGATAGAGGGGGTGGGTGCAAACATCGCAGAAGAGAAAGCTAGTCGCAACTGGTCCAGTTGATGAACCAGTTAATGCCAACTGGTAACCCTGGAAATTGAAATGGGCTATATGATCCAGTTGATCCAGGCCAGTTAGAATTCAACTGGTCTAGCTGAGCCATTAAAACCCTTTGGTAAAACTTCCAACCAGTTGAACGGCAACAACACTTCAATACTGGTACGTCTGTACTTCTAATGTAAAGGAATTGGTAATAAGTAGACTTACATAATTTAATTAATAGAATTTTTTTTCATATACTTGTACTTTATTAAAATCATTTTAGTTCATAGTTAATGTTTCCCTTATACATGTTTAATTAAATGTAATTTATACCAAGTAGCGAAATGTCCTAATAACTGGTAATTTATATTTGTAGTATTTTCAAAATGAATTGCATATAACTAAATCATCAGTAATTAAGAAATATGCTGTAAATTCAGATAAATTGTTAAAAAAAACATAGATCTGCACGCACGCACCCCATATTCAATATGCATATTAATTGGTGTTTGCTGGTTCAACTGGAAATATGCCAACAGTCAGTCATCAACTGGTGCAACTGGAAATATGCAAACAGACCAGTTATCAACTGGTGCAATGAAAATATGCCAACAGTCAGTTATCAACTGGTGCAAATAAGAATATACCAACAGTCACAGGATTACCACCACGGAACCTAAATGGTAACTGTGAAACCATCAAGACACCCAAGAATTACTAATTTTTCACACCTGGAAATCACGGATGCCCAGCTTATATCAATAATCCCTTTGAGTCACGAGATCATCACCGCGGAACTTATGGCAACTTTGACTACCATTTAAAAAGGTGTTTTAAGACACCTAATAATTACTAATTTTTCACACCTAAATATCACGAATTCACAGCTTAGATTAGTAATCAGTTTTAGCCACGTGATCATCACCAAGAAAGTTATGGTAACTTTGAAACCATTTAAAAGGTGTTTTAAGACACCTAAGAATTACTAATTTTTCACACCTGGAAAACATGGATGCCCAGCTTATATTAATAATCCGTTTGAGTCACGATAACATCACCGCGGAACCTATGGCAATTTTGACTTCCATTTAAAAAGGTTTTTTAAGACACCTAATAATAACTAATTTTACACACCTAACTATCACGGATTCACAGCTTAGATTAGTAATCAGTTTTAGCCATGTGATCATCACCAAGAAAGTTATGGTGACTTTGAAACTATTTATAAAGGTGTTTTAGACACTAATAATGACTAATTTTTCACACCTAAAAATCATGGATGCCCAGCTTAGATTAATAATCCGTTTGAGTCACAAGATCACTACCGCGGAACTTATGGCAACCTTGACTACCATTTAAAAAGGTGTTTTAAGACAACTTTTAATAACTAATTTTTCACACCTAAATATCAGGGATTCACAGCTTAGATTAGTAATCAGTTTTAGCCACGTGATCATCACCAAAGAAAGTTATGGTAACTTTGAAACCATTTAAAAAGGTGTTTTAAGACACCTAAAAATCATGGATGTCCAGCTTTAATAGATAAATAATCCGTTTGAGTCACGAGATCATTACCGCGGCACTTATGGCAACCTTGACTACCATTTAAAAAGGTGTTTTAAGACACCTAATAATTACTAATTTTTCACACCTAAATATCACGGATTCATAGCTTAGATTAGTAATCAGCTTGAGCCAAGTGATCATCATCAAGAAAGTTATGGTAACTTTGAAACCATTCTGAAAAGGTGTGTAAGACACCTCAAAATTACTCACTTTAATACATCCAGAGAATCATGGACAGAACAATAAGACGATTAGCCGGTGTAAGTAAAGTGATTATTACCATCAACCTTGGATAACCTGTGAAACCAATCGATAAAGGTGCTTAAAAGACCAAATAATTACTTATTTATCACCACCATCAGTTAACGGATAAAAAACTTGTTGCTTGGTCAAGTGGTTATTTGGTCATAACACTTGATTTACAGAGGTAAATGAAATCAAGTTACTCCAGTCGCGTGATAAATTGGTGGTTTTTAGGTTAGATGGCAACGTGAACAGGAGTACCTTTTTTGTTTAAATGAAGGCACGTGTCGATAACATTTAAATCTAGGTCAAAAGGCACCATACTTTAAAATCACTTAAAATACACTCCCAAAAGAGGTTATTTGTTAGTGTTCTGTTTATTAGGGTACCTATGTCCCTCCCTCCGTCCCCTCTCCTTGCGGGCAACATGTCCGAAGCTTTGTCTTCGGAGGCTCGTGAAAGAGGATGAATTGTGGGCGTGCGATGCGCACATGAATCCTGGGAAGGCGATGTATAAGGGGTGGGGCATGCGCGAGTGTGACGTTTTAAAGAGTTCTCGATGGTAGCGTATTTTAGATAAACTAGCAAATAATAGGTAGATACATAGATTAATATACTAAATAATAAAATCAATTCTGATTTTTCTGATTCACGTGTAATTGTAATGTTTTCACAGTTTTACCAAAATCTGACACGCGTGGAAGTTGACACGCCATTTCCAAATCACTGTTGCTCAGTGAAGCATTTGTGGATTAATGTAATCAATGTAGCATTTGAAAGCATATGCCATTTACTTTATGATAATTAAGGAATTATATTCTCACACAATTATGGTTTGTTCACAATAATGTTTAATTTTGGATTGTTCTTTTTTTTCTGGGACTCACCGGTCTGTATATATATATATAAATCCAGACATTGCTTGGCGTTCTCTTCTACATCTTCACATTAATGATTGAAGATGTAAGCAAAAAGTTAGAACAAGCAGTTGACAGTTTTGTGCATGCAACCCATTTTGACAATTCTCGGCCGCCATTATAGTAGTATAGAGGTAATGCGCTTGCCAAGGGTTTTTAAATATTGTTGTGTTATCTTAATGATCATGACTACTGGAAGTCGTGAATAAACTTCTCCAGAATCACTCAGCAAAAAAATGTGCATGGCATCTATCCCCACCCTTCTTATTGCTTAGTACTTCTGCAAGAATTAACGTGGATGTCATGCATTACCCCGTAAGGCCATTGAATCTTTTTCTAGAGGCTTATATTTGGCTTTTCTACTATAATGGTGTCGTGATCAGACACCCAACTTTAATGTTTTTAAAGGAACCTTTGCCCAACAGGATATAAGAAAGCCCCTAAGAGAACGAAATTACAGTTGAAAATTAGAATCATATTTAATAGTCTATTAAGACGTAAAGGATTCAATATTTCTACTTAATTCAAATGACCACTTATGACTAATTTTATCTGAATTATTGAAATAGTCATTAAATCTAAGAATAATTCAAGCTCACATATTGGTGTATTATGAAAATGAATGATTGCTTATTGATTATTATAATTTTTATTATTTAATTATTCTATTGTTACTATCTGTTAAATAATTAATTTGCATACTGGTGACATGAAAGATAAAGCAGGAAGGAATTGAAAACTGACCAAAATATTGTATATGATTATTTTGTTTGTCATATAGAATTTGTGATATACCGGTACAATTAATAAACGGCTAGATTAGATGTATATGGTAGTAGAAAATTCTTTAATTCTGTTTCTTTTTTTAAATATTCTAGTGGTCAAACATCGAGTCAAACACATGGAATCAATGATGTCATCATCAAAGTAGCAAACAGCATATATGATGATGGTGATATAACGAGATTTGGTCTCGCGCTTGGGATCCAGACTCCTGTTATCAACCAGGCAGTACAGATGAATTGGGCTGGAGATAGAAAGACCAGTCATGGTAGTGTGATAATGCTTCAGAACTGGGCAGCGACCGTCGAATCGTCTAAGCTAATCCACACTCTCAGAACAGCTCTCAAAAAGGCTAGCTTATTAGAGGTGGAAGAGACATGTTTCACAAGCAGCTCCAGAGGTAATGTTCTCAAATAAATGAAAATACCTATACAGCAACTTGATTACTTTTCATATGGGAAAACCATGTCCTGAGTTTGAGTAAAATTTTCCTCTACAAACTATATCCACACCTTCAAACAGTTTCCATTATAAATTAGTTCATCAAGCTTTGCATTGTGATCTTTTTAATCATCTTCTATCTCAATAACTCCTTTTACCTTCCTCTGATATCATAGGGTGCATTTATTGACCAAATTTTTGGCTAGAATCAGGTTTCTCAAACGTCTTTCAGGCAAATTTAGAAGGTGATAAACGCAAAGCCTTTTTTAAGTTCTATAGATATGGGCATATCTAAAGACGCAAAAAGGTGTGTTTTGAATGTGACATACAGCCAGAATCACGTTTCTGAGAGATGATAAACGCAAAGCTGTTTTGAATCCCACATACAAATCGGACCTCCCAGGTTAATTTCCGGTTCCGAGGCTAGCGCGCGCCATGTGTTGTGTACAAGCATGTGTGTGTAGTTGACCTCCGAGAAACTGCTTCCCGGGTCAAAACAGCTGCGCAGACACAAGGCCTTTATTTTGAATCGTGAAGAGACGATAAACAGGACATCCCGCAAATCACTTTCGTATAGTAGGGTTCGATAGTGGGGTATGATAGTGGGGTACGATATGTACATATCTAGTGGCAAGGCCCAATAAATGCACCCTTGGACAGACAATCTTATGCACACATGATTATGGGGACATGTAGAATTAATTGTTACTTAGAAACAAAATATAAGAGCTAAAGTCCTTTCATTTGTTATTTAAAATCATTTTGTGCTGTAATTTTCATACTAATTCATGAAATAATATGAAAACTATTAACATTTGATGTTGACAATTTAATACAGAGAAAATCATGAAAAAATGTTAAGTGATATTACAGCATGACATACATTTTCCGAAAACAGAATCAAGTTCATCATTTAGATTTTTTCTAAAATATCTATTATATTTTATTGAAACAATTTTAATTTCTTTCATACCACCGGAAAATAGTGAAAATGAACTAATTCAAGAAAATATCAGTTTCCATCTAATGTTGCGTTGTGGTTGCATTCACCATGATACATAACATTATTCATCCAGTAGCGTTCCATTGATTCATATGCAAATAAATCTGGGCTCATTTTTAGCCAGTGGTGTAGTTAGCTAGAAATGTTAAATCAAGGGAGGACCCCCCCCCCCCAGCCCTGACAGAAAAGCAGCAAGAACCTTGGCTGCCCGAGATAGCCCGGCATGCATATTTTTCATTCACACACAAGCCCAGGGAATGGAACTAATGGAACTGCTTGCTTTGACTCTACTTTATGTCTGAGAGAGAAAGAACAAGTGAAATTAAGAGCTTAGAAGGAGGGGAAGGGACACTAAGATTGATACAGGTACATTGAAGTTTAAGGAAAGTTATGGTGTTAAAGATACTATGTCCCTTTTGCAGCCAACATCAAATTCTATAGAACTTTGCAGGAATTATGAATATGTCATGTATGTCCTATCTGTGAAATTTAAACGTTAGCAGTGTCCTAATATTCAAATTATGCAAGGAAACCTGTTTACTTTCTAGACTTCACTGTCAGACACTATTGAGTGACTGACTGGCTTTTCTTCTTCTTTGGTAATAACATGCATAAAATGAGCTGTATAAAAGGGTACATGAGCATTTGTCTACATCAATAACCCACTTCTTGTAGTGGCCAAAATTAAATTGATTGAATTTTTGCACAGCATAAAACGTACGACTATTCGGTACAATGGTCTGAAAATCAGACTATTACTTACTGGCTCTATACCTATTAAGTCGATTTCACAACCAATCGTTGTTATTTTCCAACTTAAAGACATTTTCAAGCCCCATTTTTTAAAGAGAAGTTCTAAATTAGTATTATCTTTCAAATGCCGTTGGAATTTAACCTTTTAATTTTTTGGGCCTGCAAATGGGACATAGTACCTTTAAAAGAGGTTTTTTAATTTTTATTCTTTGTCTTCTAAGGCAGTACAATTGGTTTGTTGTCTAAAGAACGTTTCACTGAGTGTTTAAACTTTCTTTTCATATTTACCAAGACACATTGGATTGTTTTCAGTGTCTTATCTAACATTCTTATCTAACATTCTAAAGCAAAAATTGTAAGAACAACGAAAAGTGATTTGAGGATATTTGAGCCTATTCCTCAAGTACTAATATGTAATACACGTAGTAGTTTCTTGAGATTTATTTCTGTTAACAAAGTCTATTTCTTATTCAGCAGATGCTTTTTAATATCGAATTTTTTATCAAACTACAAGGGGCCTATCTTGTAAAGAGTAACAATGGATTTAAATCCATCGCAACTCTGTACTAAGAAGAAAGGATGTATTAAAAGTGTGCGCTTGATTTGTTTGAAGGACTTAAGATCGATCCGGATCAATCATAACTCAAGACAAGGCCCAGGTCATCGCCATCTCTTTCCAGGGGGCTTTGCTTTGTATCTTATAAATACAATACCTCATTCACATTAACAATACCAACACCAGACCAATAACAGTCCCCCCCCCCCCCACGAAAAAAAAAAAGACATTACCCAAACAGCCAAAAATTGGTCGGTTTGGAGTTGCTGTGGAGTCGGTTTCTGTGGTGTGACCAAGGTGTAAGCTGCACAGAGAAACAGTCATATAAAAAGACTAAGCTTTTTCTTTTTTTCCAATAAAAGTCTTTATTCAATTTTTCCTCAATAAAGCAAATGTACAAAATGTTGGATACATACATTTGACAAAGAAAGGTACTTTACAATTTTTTTTAATAGCATTTAGATAAATTGGACGTACCCCTGTCAATCAAGAAATCAAATAAACCTATCTTGTTGTGCAAAGATGTTTTGTTCAACTTCATAATGATATTTCAATTTCTTTTGAAAACATGGAAATTATAAACATCTAGTTGAAAATATATAATATTTTGCATACAAAATAACAAAATTAATAAGGAATAATTTCCGCCTGGGATGCCAAAGATGAAGTCATTACATGTTAACTTAATTTCATTTTTATGCCTCCGTTACGAAGTAGCCAGAGGCATTATATTTTCTCAAGAACCGATTGATGGATTCCTGCCAAAATTAGGTCATGTATGTATCTTGCAGAGCCAATGAATTGATTAGATTTGGGGGTCACAAGGTCAAAGGTCACAGGGCTCAATACGTATACATCATAATAATAATAATTATAGTGAACATTTATAATGCGCCATGTCTGTAAAAAATTACACTCCTGGCGCATTTGTGTGGAAATAGCTCGTGATCACATCATTAGAACCGATGGAAGATAATTATCATCAAATGCAGCCGGACATGTATGTATCTTGCTGAGCCAATGTACTGATTAGATTTTGGGGTCATGAGGTCAAAGGTCATGGGGCTCATCATATATGCAAAATTAGCTTGTGATCGCATTATTATTAGAATCGATGGACAGATTACCATTAAACTCAAGACATGTATGTATCTTGCAAAGCCAATGAACTGATTAGATTTCAGGGTCATGAGGTAAAAGACCCCTGTTACACATACCTCTGAAAGTGGACTGAGGCCGGCCTGGCGGCGGCTTGACGTATGTGTAACACCTTTTTTTAAATGCCGGACTAAGGCCGCCTCCATCCAGTCCACCTCTGGATGTGGTTTGAAGCTGGCCCGAGTCCGGACTCAGTCCCGCATTAGTAGGTGTAACACCAAAGTGGACTCGGCGCGGGCTTATAAGCTGATTGGGATTTGACCCGTCACCATACATCAACATTTAATCGGGTGCGCTTTGCCATCTGGAGTGCGCCCTAACGTCAACTCGTGAAAAGGTGACGTGAGGCCGGCCTATGTGTAGACACAAAATTGTTGGCGTGAGGCCGCCTCCGGGCTTTAAAATCTGACGCATGTGTAACAGGGGTCATACATGGTATGTAAAATGGCTTATAATTACAATATCCTGAGAACCTGTCAATGGATTACAATCAAACTTGAATTTGAATAATAGCTTCTGTTTTGGTTTGTGAAAACGCTCTTTTTAATATGGTGGAGGCATCATTTTCGACTGCGCGCAGTCAAAGTTCCATCTAGTTGAGGGTATGTTTTTCAAAGTCTAAGAATCGACGAGTTCTCAAGATAAGTGTTTAATGTTTAAATACTTATTGACACCAGACATGCACCAAGAATATTGTGAGTGATTTGTTTCATCTTAACCGTGATGGTTGTTCTTGCTTTTCTCATGTTTTTTTATAGTTAAGAATGGTTTTGCTTTCTGTGGCAGGCCACATTTGTGTCTTTATCCTTTATCTTTATCGACGTATTTGTTGTGTTATTCTTGATCTTCTTTATTAAAGATGATACTGGTAATAACGAGGGAAATGATGACCAGCTGACATCTCTCAAACAAGACTCGGGGAGTAATCAGGATGATATTACCTTCGGCGGTCTTTCGACACCGCCAGAGATCCTCGCTCGGGGGCCGAGTGCACAGCGAGCGTATGCCGAAGCAGCTAAAGCTGGCACAAAGAAAGTATACCGAACACGCCTGATGCTTGTGGGACAAGAACGTGTTGGAAAGACAAGTCTAAAGAAAATTCTTACGGGACAAGGGTAATCTCGTTATTATCCCTTTAAGTTCTGTTCTCTATCTTTATTTATTGTTCTTTGTTTATCTGTCTCTGCATTATGTATTTCTTCCATTCACTTGAAAAAAAAATAGAAAACTTTATTAACAGTCATGTTGACTTTACGTTTTCTGTTTGAATGCATGAAATCTTTTTCCAACATAATCACGAGTCAGTTAGCAAGATGATTTTGATCTGGTTTATTCTGTCTTTAATATCGATAATGAAAATAATTCCTTTTGTGATTACTTTTCCTTTTATATCTCTTCTTTTCTCTTTTGTTGGTAATAGAATCATTTCTAATCAGTGAATAGGTACATTTATTATACACAGTGGTCGTTTGTGATCAAAATTTATGAATGTGCAAATTTTGTGTACAATAACATAATAAATATGATTTGTATAGATTTTATGTTTGTTTATTATGGTACATCACTTTATATTCAAAGACGTCATAATGTCTTTTTTTCTGATTTGAAGGAAATAAAGATTTACTTTAAGTAATGATTTTTTTTTCTAAATGATTTACATGTGTCTCTTCTAAGGGGCTATCCGATCTTTAGAGCAAGTTGCTTTGAAGGGAAGTAGAAAAATTAGACAACAGATTGGTGAAAGTTTTAACCAAATCCGGTAAACATTGAGAGAGGTATGAAGTTTTGAAAGTTAAAATGTTGTTTGGTGTCGAGTACAGCAACTTCCCTATTGTGGAACAAAATAGGTATGACATTATTTGCCAATATGAAATTTGATTCAATTAAAAAGTGGTTTATTACACAACATGTATGACAACAAGCTGTGTATACACATAATAATATATAGAATTGAACATACAAGGTACTATAAACAGTAATAAACATTAGTAAAGTTTTATCTAATATAAATGATAATTGTTGCTGGATACAGTCGAAACACATTATCAAAGTTAAAGATATAAAGGTGCGAATGATAATAAGCAGTATAGAAAATTAAGCACATACTTGAAAAAAAAAAATCAAAATATGTATCTCTGTCTCTCCTTCTTTACTTGGATTACAACCCAACTGATATTCATGATATTTGTATGTGGCGATAGATGGGAGAGTTCTTCATCCTCGATAAAAACGTCACAAATTATTTTACAATGGAATTCACTAATTTTGGATTTGTCTGATTTTACCTGATTCAGCTTGTTGAATGTTTTAAATACTTTTTGTATCAAATTTACTTGTGTGGCTCAGAATATAAGCGTGTATATCCCAATAAACAGAACACTAAAAAAATAACCTCCTTTGGGAGTGTATTTTAAATTATTTTAAAGTATGGTGCCTTTTGAACTAGATTTAAACGTTATCGACACGTGCCTTCATATTTTTTTTAAAGGTACTCCTGTTCACGTTTTCAACGCACCTAAAAAACACCAATTTATCACGCGACTGGAGTAACGTGATTCCACTTACCTCTGTAAATCAAGTGTTTATGACCAAATAACCACTTGACCAAGCAACAAGTTTTTTGTCCGTTAGCCGATGGTGGTGATAAATAAGTAATTATTTGGTCTTTTAAGCACCTTTATCGATTGGTTTCACAGGTTATCCAAGGTTGATGGTAATAATCACGTTACTTACACCGGCTAATCGTCTTATTGTTCTGTCTGTGAATCTCTGGTTATATTAAATTAGTAATTCTGAGGTGCCTTACACACCTCTTTAAATGGTTTCAAAGTTACCATAACTTTCTTGGTTATGATCACGTGGCTCAAGCTGATGACTAATCTAAGCTGTGAATCCGTGATATTTAGGTGTGAAAAATTAGTAATTATTAGGTGTCTTAAGACACCTTTTTAGATGGTAGTCAAAGTTGCCATAAGTTCCGCGGAGATGATCTCGTGACTCAAACGGATTATTAATCTAAGCTTGGCATCCGTGAATTTTAGGTGTGAAAAATTAGTCATTCTTAGGTGTCTAAAAATACCTTTTTACTAAATGGTGGTCAAAGTTACCATAAGTTCCGTGGTGATGATCTCGTGACTCAAACTGATTATTAATCTTAGGTGTGAATCTGTGATTTTTTAGGTGTGAAAAATAAGTTATTCTTGGGTGTCTTGATGGTTTCAAAGTTACCATTTAAGATTTGTGGTGATAAACCTGTGACTGTTGGCATATTTCCAGTTGAACCAGTTGACACCAATTAATTTGAATATTGAATATGGGGTGCGTGCAGATCTGTTTTTTTTTACAATTTATCTGAATTTACAGCATATTTCTTAATTACTGATGATTTAGTTATATGCAATTCATTTCGAAAATACTACAAATATAAATTACCAGTTATTAGAACATTTTGCTACTGCGTATAAATAACATTTAATTAAACATGAATAATTAAAGGGAAACATTAAGTATGAACTAAAATAATTTCAATGAAATGACAAGTATATGAACAGATTAATTAAATGACTTAAGTCTACTTATTACCAATGCCTTTACATTGGAAATACAGATGTACCAGTATTGAAGTGTTGTTGCCATTCAACTGGTTGGAACTTTTACCAAATGGTTCTACTGGCTCAGCTAGACCAGTTAAATTCTAACTGGCCAGGATCAACTGGATCATTAAGCCCATTTCAATTTCCAGGGTTACCAGTTGGCATTAACTGGTTCATCAACTGGACTAGTTGCAACTAGCTTTTTCTTCTGGGATGTATGCACCCTAATTTCATAACCAAACAAAAACGGGAGTATTAGGTTTACAAACCATGGTCTCCAAGGTAGGGATAATCATGTTATTATAATGGTGATAGGGTTAGGGTTAGTGCACATGTTTTATAAGTGACCTAGTGCAAAAAACGTGTTCACACAATCACGTAAATGTCAGGTGTTTGAATAACGTAAATCTGTTCAAGTCGATACCTTGATATTGATGTGATTTTCATGTGAATTGTTTATTGGGATATTATTATCATTGATATTATTGTTATTATTATTAGTTTATTATTATTATTATTCTAATTTTATTATTTGCTTCAGATTTGATAGAAATGAGGCAATAACAGACGGTGTAGAAACAGCAAACACATGTGAAATTAGCATAGAGGATGCAAAGACTGGTGAAAAAATGTGGTCAATTCTCCAAAAAAGAAAACATGGGAATGAAGATAAAAAAGGTAGGTAGAACTTGAACAAAGATTTTGCCTTTACTATAAGAAAAATGAAATTCTTTACATATATATATATATATATATATATCTTTAATTCTGACATTATGAATTTTTCAAACTGTTGGTGACAAATGAGGAAGGAAAACGCTTTAAAATAAAAACTTAAAGCGTATCTTTTTATTTTAATATCTTACTGTTACAACTTGTAAGCTCTTGTTTATAAATGTCTTTTATTCTTGTTCTTATTAATGTTGTCATTTTTATTGTCATTATGATCATCATTATAATTGTAATTATCATGATTATTTTTTTGCTATTATTTTCATTACTATTAATGTTATTATTACCATTAATACTGTCTCAAACCTTTCCTGACATAGCAATCACTAAGTTATAGTTCTTGCAGTGGTGATATAGATATAAGAAGTGAACTGATTTGTCCTTATGATATAACAATATCTCAATTTTTTTGTACTGCTATGTAAATATGTAAAAACTATCAAACTGATTAATAGACTGCAAAGTATTTTCGAACAACTTCCCATTTCCTGTATCATCAGATATGTTTTAAAAATCTATTTCTTTCACAAGATTTTTTTTCTATCAGAGTTTCCTTTCTTATTATGGATAGCATGCTGTTAGATGTCACCAAAAACATCCTTTTCAGTCATAAGTTTTGAAGAAACTTATATTTTAGTCAGGATGTATATTAAAACAATTGAAGGAATTGCATGACATCACATATTTCTAGCTATTCGGTAATTTTTAACTTGCTATATTTACGGCAGGATTGCACATCAAATTGTTCATTAAAATCATGTACATGTACACTTAATTTAAATTACTCTGGAGTCATACAATCTTATATTACAATAATTGTAATGATTTACTTTCAAAGATGATGAATACAGTAAAGCTCTTGCGGATGTAATGACAAAGAAGCTGAAGATGATCCCACCGCAGGTAATTATTATCTCTGTACAGGTATTGTTATTCTAATTGGAGGTAACCCAATATGAGAGAATGAAATGGCTATCGTACTTGTTAATCCAAATAAAAATCTCTATAAAAGTCGATGTAGTATGAGTTATGATTAGGATGGAGAAGTGAAATTCAGCCAGAGGGATTTAAAATCAAAATTACGATGATCATCCAACAAATAAATGATATCGGAAATTGCGCTCAATGAATTTGATAGCAATATACCTGAGTAGTAAGTAAAGAATGATAATTATAGGGCTGGTTGAGACTAGACTACAATACACTACAGTACATTGAGTTCGCTGTTTCCTTTGCATACATGCATTTCATTTATGATAATATATTTTCATTATTTCCATTAGTGCAACACAAGTTTACATTTAACTCGGTATTAGCCATTAAAGTTTTCATAACCCCTTGTACATGTATCGACTGTTTCCATCAGGAATGTCAAGTACATATTTAATCATGCAATGACACATTAAATGCTCTAGACCAGTCTAGAATGACAGTGTAAACAAATAAAGAGTGGGATCATCTCATCAACCACTTTAAAAAATAGTTTTAGTTGCTAATTGTGAAGCGACTAGTGCAAGCTGCTCAATGACAAGCTTAATACTGGTTTATTTTGTGTACAGGATCAAGAAAGTTCAGAACCACCCAGGGATACTACTCTTAGCAGAGGCCCGAATGCTAAAGAAGCAGGTGTGTATATGTTTTGTTTTTGTTAGCTTTAATTTGTTTGTGTTAATTGTTTGTTTTGCTTGTATGTCTCCTTAAAGGTACTATGTCTCATTTGCAGCCAACATCAAATTCTGTAGAACTTTGAAGAAATTATGAAAAATGTCACGTTTGTCCTAACCGTGAAATGTATGCGTACCGTAAGCATGATATGAATATTAGGACACTGCAGTGTCCCAATATTCAAAATATGGAAGGAAACTTGTTTAATTTCTAGACTTCACTGTCAGACACTATTGAGTGACTGACTGACTTCTTGTTTTTTTAATAAGCTGTGACGTCGGAAAAGGGAGGTGTGGCTTGTGGGCCACTTCCGGGTATCTAGTAAAGTGCATGTATAACATAACTATAAGGTTGGAAGACAATTAGCTTCAACTTATGTGTTATTTGTCCCTTACTAGAATACAATTTAAGACAACATCGATTGTAATTTAATTCTCATTAATATTTCCATCTTGATATACTAAAAAATGTATAATAATAATAATACATATGATTTATAAGGCGCCAAATCCACTTGACAGTCAAATGCTCAAGGCTTTTTTTTATTGGTCCAGCGACCGCCCAAGGGAAACACAAAATCAACTATTGTTTGTGAACAAAAACGTTGAAAAAGGGGAAAAAGAAGGTGAAACTACGGCTGTGTCCACAGGCACAGCTGTGTCGTGCAGTAAGCCTGCATACCGGTATATGGGTATTTGGGAGCCGGCGATTGTTTTACCACAATTGCACAATGAAGTTTCACTTTGACATATCAGAGAGAGAAATTACCTCTTCCACTGTGGAAAAAACAGTTAATGGTGATTAAATCATTATTATGAATAAAATAAAATTCAAACTAATCAAAGAATATTTCTTTTAGTTGATCGTATCATGGCTATAGATTCGCTGGAAATATCGAGCGATTCTGCTGTTGTTACAATTCATCCGCAAGAAGTGCGGGTCTTGGCAGCCGCATTACCTATACTGATTGAATGTAGTCATAGTATTGCAGACGGATTTACATTACCTGCGCCCACATCAAAACAAGCGTAAACGTACCTTCGCTTGGCGTTCGCGTACGATCTATTACTTACTATCCAGATCAATTATTTTGCTAGGATTTGTGGTCAAATTTATTCATTACAATTAAGTTAATTGAGATCTTCATCCATGCACGGATACCTCAAAGTCCATTAAAAGGCTGTTTTGTACAAATTCCTCATTCATGTCGAAATTTCAGCCTTATAAGTGTGTATGTAAAAAGCATCGAATTTAGTGCGACTGAATAACACTGTACTGCGCGCACAGTAATCGCTTGCATTTCGCGATAGGCGAAACCCTTACAGAAGTGACAACCTACTGGTGATCTGGCGTTATGTCACTGTTGTCAGCAACTCCGTCCAGCTCCTGATATAACCTCTTTTGGTCATACTGGAACATAAGTTTTTTTCTCAGTATTGGCTTATTCTCTGATCCTATCTTCTAAGTTTGGCAGCTTTTGCCGTCACCCACTGCTTCATCTTCTCAATGATGGTCTTTCGTTCCTTCCTTTTCATATTGTACTTGTTCTCAATATGAGCTAGCCCTTTATTCTGTTACCCTGGTTCTTTTCCTTCCTCTCTAACTTGCTTAATCCTCTTTTTAGTTAGTCAACGTTTCCTTGGATTCTCCTTTCAAAGAGGCTCTTTTTTCCACCTTAGGTTCTCTTGTGAAATACCCAGGTCGCGGGAGGCATCCCCGCTAGAGCTCGTATACGTCTATTAGTCTTGGGGATATCAGTTGTCTCAATATGCCTCAGGACTTCATTCACCTCCATAGCAGCCTCGTGTAGCCTCTTTCTGTCAACCTGCCTTAGCGATCTTAGCTGGTGCCTCTTAATATCTTCTAGAACCTTTTTAATGCTTTGCAGAAGGTCTTTTCGCCTCTCTGTCAGCCATTCAGTATCTTTGAAGTGGATTTCATGACTGTCATTGCCCTGCCTTTCCATCTGTGGTGCAACCTCGCCTTTGCTCATCTGTACCGCATCAGTGCCATGATTACCTTGGGCTACGCCTTCTGCAGCATGATAATCCCATCTTTTCTACCTCCCACAATGCCATCTCTCTTCTCTGTGTACTTTCCTTTTAAATTCAACTTCTGAGAGCCCCTATGTGGTTCCAATTGCCGGGGCCTGGTCGATCAAGTTCTGCTTTGTTACCCTGGACGTTCCACTCTACTGCCAGCTATTCATCATTCTCCTATCCCCTGGTCCCTGGTTTTCTCTCAAATTAACACTCCACTACTACTCGGTATAAGGTTTGGTTCCATTTTCTTTGGTCATGAGTCACTGCATGGATGACGACTCCGAGGTGCCCGCTCGTACACACCTGTCACGACCAGACCTAGACCTGCCACATTCGGTCTCAATCACCTCGTTATCTTCATTTCTGTTTATGTATATTTATGTTCATTGTTGTTATTATTATTATTATATAAAGAACCGAATGATGGATTACCGCCAAACTTGGGTCATGTATGTGTCTTGCACGGCCAATGAACTGATTAGATTTGGGGTCACGTGGTCAAAGGTCACAGGGCTCATGTATACAAAAAAGCTTGTGAATTCATTATCTCAAGAACCAATTGATGGATTACCACCAAACTTGGGCCATGCAATGAACTGATTAGATTTGGGGTCACAAAGTCACAGGTCATATAGGGCTCATGTATGCAAAAAAAAGCTTGTGATCGCATTATCTCAGGAACCGAATGATGGATTACCGCCAAAGTTAGGTCCTGTATCTATCTTACAGAGCTGATGAACTGTTTAGATTTTGGGGTCACAAGGTCTAATGTCAAAGGTCACAGGGCTCATGTATGCAAAAAAAGCTTGTGATCGCATTATCTCAAGAACCAATTGATGGATTACCGCCAAACAAGTCATGTATGTATTTTGCAGAGCCAATAAACTGATTAGATTTTTGGGGTCACAAAGTCAAAGGGCTCATTATGTATGCAAAATTAGCTTGTGATCACGCTATCTAAAAGCATCGTTTAACAATGTTAAGTCTGAGATGCATGGCCCTACGTGTTTTATTGAAGCTCTAAAAAAAATTGCGCTTCCAACTGATCAAGAAGAGCCTCAAAAAAGTAAAAATCTTTGAGTGACTGTAGTGTTATGAAACCGTTAGGCAAACACAAAATTTGGTTTTGATTTCCAATCATAAATATCTTGATAATCACACAGGCTTGTAAAAGTTATGGGGTTCCTGACTGACCTAAAGGTTTATAATTAACATTGCAGCATGTGCTAATTCCAGGATTTTGTTTTAGAATCTGAGACAAATTAGTTACCGGACCCCTTAATTTAAGAACTGATTGATGGATTACCACCAAACTTGGGTCATGTATCTTGCAGAGCCAATGAACTTATTAGATTTTTCGGGCACCATTTTCAACTGCGCGTAGTCGAAGATCCATCTAGTCATTCTTATTATTGATAGCATGTTGTTAGAATTCACCAAAACATTTCCTTTTCAGCAATACATTTTAAAGAAAATATTGTTCATTGAATTAAGTCAAGATGTGTATACAAATAAAGGCGTTGCATCACATCACACCATATTTATAGCTATCTGGTAATTTTTTACTTGCTACAAAGGCAGGATTGCACATCGATTTGTTCATTAAAATTATGTAATTGAAATTACTCTGGATTAAATCTCCCATTTTGTTTTCAATATACACAAGCGAAATGTAAAGTTTCAGAATCCACCTGTGCAATAATTAAATACGCCCCAACCCCAAGTACATGAATCGTTGTTTATCCATGGTCATTGTATTGAACAGGTCCCAGAATATAAATACTTGGGAACAGTTGTTGACAAAAAGCTAAATTGGAATAGAAACTCACAGATTGTAGCTAGTAAAGCAAGCCAAAGATTGTATTTTCTGAGAAAACTAAAGGAGTTCAGAGTTGATAACAGCATTCTAATTCTCTTCTACCAGTCGCTCATTTAAAGCATTCTTACATTCAATTTTATACATGCATGTTTGGAAATCTCTCAAAGCAAAACACCAAAAAGCTAGAAAAACCAAGGATAATTGCCCAACAAGTAATTAAAAAAGACCTCCCCCTTATTAGTACATTATATGAAAAGCGCATTCTTCTAAAAGTTCAATAATGCGTGACACTGCACACCCACTTAACTCCTGTTTCATTTACAATCGTTCTGGCATTCGTCTGTGTGTTCCCAAAACTTCTCGCTGACGCTATATACAGTCCTTCATTCCGAATTCCTTCTACACGTTCAACAATAACATTAAACAGTAACTGTATGTGATGTAAAAATTTGTGAATGGATTCGAATGGATTCTTGCTTATTTATAAGAACCCATAGGTTCATACACATGAATTGTGTTTTTTAACGCCATATGTTAAATGCAGCGGCACTGATCTGCACTCCCTCCTAAAGCCCCAGTCCCATATAAAGCCGGACCAGCACGGACGAGCACGGACCACTCCGGACCATCCCGGACCATGGTCTGGGGTGATCCGGGATGGTCCGGGATGTTTTGTTCAAAAAAGTGTGATGCTTTAAAAGCTACAGTCCCATATACGTCCCGGACCGTCCCGGACCATCCCGGACCCCATCCGGGGTGATCCGGGATTCGGTCCGTGTTGACACCGGGTTGGCACCGGGGTGGTCCTGGATGGTCCTGGATGGTCCTGGATGGTCCTGGGCGGTCAATAACTCACTCCCGGACTGCCACGGATCAACACGGACCGCCCCGGCGCCACTACGGATGACCCCGGACCCAGCACGGTGGCTACACGGATCACCCCGGATCAAACTATTGTCCCGGACCGTCCCGGACCACCCCGGCAGTTTTTGACCATCCAGGACCATCCAGGACCACCCCGGTGCCAACACGGTGTCAACACGGACCGAATCCCGGATCACCCCGGATGGGGTCCGGGATGGTCCGGGACGGTCCGGGACGTATATGGGACTGTAGCTTAAGTTTTTGCAATGTTCCGCTTGTCGATGCTCTCTCGTGAAAGGGTGGCCCAGCCTAGTGGAATTTGGATTGGACGGGCAAGTGGCTTGGTGGTAGGAGGGTGGCACCTTTTTTTTGTTTTCTCTGGATCTGGAAGAAATGTCTGGCCGACGCGAAATTTAATTCAGAGAAAATGGAAGGGACGTGTCTGCTTCTCATTGCCGGGCTTCTTGCCTGATTGGTTTTGGATTCCGCTGGGGCATGCTCGCGCTGGAGCCTTGCAGAATCTGTATATGTTTGCAAGTGGAGGCCGCTGCCTTTTTACATTTTTTACCTTTAGTAAAGCGGTTGTTATTCTCTCTTCTTCTCGCCTACACTCTTGTTTTTTCTTGCTCAGCTTCCTTCATTCCTTTTCTCATCTTACTGTGCTATCTCCTCTTCCATAGGGTAGGTCTTTACTTTTGTCAGAATGTATTTAACTGTTTGTTAATCTAATTGATGTTTTTGTTTTGTCCACATTTATGTATTCTTATGTTATTCATTGTTATCTCCTGCTAGTGGAGTACAAATTTCTATGTTTTTTGACGTGGACAATGAATTTGAATCTGAATCTGAGTCATACAATCTTATATAACAATGTAATATATGATATTTGATGATTTACTTTCACAGGGGATGAAACAGCAAAGAGACTGACCATGACCCCACCAAAGGTAATAATCATGTCCATACAGGTATTTTGTTTCTGAATTGAGGTAAATGAAGAGAGAATAAAATGGCTATCTTACTTGTTAATCCAAATTAAAATCTCTATGAAAGTAAATGTAGTAGTGAGTTATGATTATGAAGGAGATGTTAAATTTGCGATGAACTTCCAAACAGATAAATGATGTCGGAAATTTAGTCAATGAATTTAAAAGAAATATTCCTGAGTAGTAAGTATAAAATGATAATTATATGGGCTGTCTGAGACTACAATGCACCACAGTAGCGTTTCTCAACCAGGATGCCGGGGCACCGCGAGAAAAATTGATGAAACATCTACTTTTGGATCCATTATGAAATAAACATCAGTTTGTGAGAAAATATGAGAAACCGCAATGTATTTTTATGAAGCAACAACTTTTTAAAGATAATTAAGATTTCTTTTTGTCCACACTCGCAACATTTTGAAACAGTAGGATTTTTGGCTGTGAAGTGCCTGAATAGCTACATTATTAGTCAACAAAGTGCCAGAATATCTCTTTTGACAGCGATCGAGGTGCCCGAATATATCTAGCATTTTTATATCGAAGTTGCATTTTTTTTACCACACCTGTTCGCTTCACTCTCCCAGAACATTTAGAAACAGAATGATTCTGGACAATAAGATGCCCAAATATCCTAATACCATTATTTGTGCGTCGAGGTGACCAATTATGTATGACTTTGGATTATGTATTTTACCACTCTAAAATGTCATTGTGTTTGCTCTCTCGCTTTGCTCGCTCCCAAATTTTGGAAACAAAATTTGTCCGTTAGTGTGTCCGTTAGTGTGTACATAGCACTTGAGGTGTACCAGAGTGAATGAAAATGAATCTTCTGTAATTAATTTGGATTATGGCAATGCGCAACTTATTATTTAAAAAAGCAGCGACATTCATGATATTAAATTTTGATATACAAGTCAAACAGCCACAAAGCATGTATAAATAAAACTTTTCTAGAAAGCAGATTTTTATTATCATGCTGTTTTTAACTTAAATTTTATTGCAGCGAACACATTTATGTTTAATCTGGTATCAGCTAGCTATTCATTTTTCATAACCCTAGTACATGTAAATGTGTTGGCTCTTTGCATCTGAAATGTCAAGTTCTTAATAGTCGTGCACTGACACAATAATTCACTCTACACCAGTCCAGAATGACAGTGTAAAGTCATAAAGAGTGTGATCAACCCTGTCATCAACCACTTAAACAAATATTTGTAGTTGCTAATTATGATGCAGTTAATAGTGCAAGCTGCTCAATGACAATCTTGAAGGGACTTGGTAACATTGTTCAGATGAGTGAAAGTGGTGCTAAGATAGTGACTTCAATATTAAAGATAATCTGAAAGTTTGAGTGCAAACGGACCATTATTAATGATACTATTTGGGAAAAACTGATCTGATCGATTCCTTAATTCTCCCAACTATATCATAACAATTTAATTCGATTTTTGTTAATGTTAATCATCACAAAGCAATAAATTGGCTCTATGTACCATTCCAGACATTTAAGTGTTGAAAGATTCTTAAAAGCCTGATGTCTTATATCTTTTTGTCAAGGAAAATCGGTTGGGAAAAATCAAAATTGGTTGGGAGAATTTACTGTTAAAGGGTGTTGCACAGTGACTCTTTCAAAGATATCTTTGTGGTTTGAAAAAATTGCAGAATTGCATGTCAGAGGGTGAGTACAGTAGGAGGATTATAATAAGTGACATTTCATACAAAAATTATGCAATGTTTTCATCAACCTTCAACAATTTTACAGAGTCACTTTAATACTGCTTTATTTTGTAAACAGGATCAAGAAAGTTTAGGAACACTCAGCGATTCTTCTCTCGGCAGAGTCCTGAATCCTGACGCAGCAGGTTTGTGTATTTGCTTGTTTTTTTTTGTTTGTTTTTTAGTTTGTGTTGTTTCTTTCTTTTCTTAATACTCATTTAATCCTTAATTCATCATCCATAAGATATAAAGTATCAATTCAAGTAGATAACAAATGAGTATTTACTTGTTAAAACTCCTTTTAAAGTGTTTTTAATGTCATTTACATGAAATATTCTCATAATTATAATTATATTACAATATTATGATAATAATAATCGCATGTGTAGACCTATAGATGGTATAATGATAGTGCACATGCTCCATTCCCTGGGGATTATTCCATACCCATTAAATACCTGGGAGGGGAGTAGCGATTGTAGTTTAATTGTGAATGTAAACATCCTACAAATATATATATTTCTTCTTTATTGCAGAAGAATTTGTTTCTGGTAATGTGGAGACGCCCAATGCTAGAGAGGAGGATGGCGGAGTGCCACATCATCTAGCAAGTCTGGTGGAGAAAAATCTTAAAGAACAGGTCCACCAAAAATTTTGCATTTTGAACCTTGTATCTTTATGTGGGATAACATGTACAAGATTGGAATGGGTTCCCATATGAAAAAAACAAATCGTGTTAGGGAACCAAACTTGCAGCTCCTACAGAGGAATGTTGGACTTTATACAATCTTGTTTGCTGCACTAGGGTGAATATATAGCGGATACAAAATTGGTTATTTGCTTACCAGATTTTTTTTGCCTATACTCTGCTAAAAATCATGCTACATTTTTAGTTACAAGCAATAAGTCATATATAAACAACAAAAAGAGTAATAATCAAGGACATTAGTGAATAGTGATAAAAAGACATTGAAGTAAAATTACACATTGCCTGATTAATAATATTGAAAACAGATTAAAAGGGGGAAAGGCATGCACACAATTCGGAAGCACTAAGAGAGAGTAAAAGAAGACAGAGGTTGAAAGAGGAAGAAGGACAGTAGAGATGGGGAGAGAAGGGAATGAGTCGGAAGAAGGGGAGGGATATAGAGAGAAAGGAAAAGAGAGCTGATGCGAAGTAAAGAACTGGGCAGTAGGGACGGTTAAAATGATGAAGGTTCATGTAGATGTCTACTCACTTTCTTCATTCCACAGGAGATGGGAACAGACAGTACAGAAAGCGGTAGAGGAGAAGCGGTCTCACTAAGAATATGGGACTTTGCTGGACATGACGTATACTACACAACCCATCAGGTAAATTTAAAAACCATTAGATTCTTTATAAATTCTATCGTGCAGTAAAACCAAATCTCGGTGGACTTCCCCTTTAATGTGTGGCCCAGTCATAGGTGCAAAGTCATGTCCAGGGTCTAAGTTATTGCTTCTTTTATTTATTTGATCATCCACTGTAGGAAAACAGACTTGACTAGATAAGTTTAGAGTTGCTGGCTTCTTGCTATCTACTGAAGTGCGAAAAAGTGCTGTAAATTGCAACATCTCTAGAATGTTGTCTTAATTTTGGCTTTTGGGGGTCTTTTTTTAACAGAAGTTTCTTATTTATTTGACCATTCTCATGGAGTTATCTAGGAATTGATAATATGAATATAAGCCGAGTTAGCCTGCAATGAGTACGGACGTGCATTAGCTTTCAGCTCTTCCGGGTTTTTTTTATTTGACCACCGCCTGTTCTAAAATGTGATTTATTTCAACGCGAACTATTCCGACCTGGTTTCCTTATGCGCTGTCATTATTGAGAAAGTGGAAATTAATTGTTGTTCAACCGATTATACCACTTAAACTGATCCTACTTCACACGAATTCAAAATGGCTACTGGTGTAGCTGGAGTCACCACCCGGCCGCGGACACGTAACCGAGATACCACCCACAGCCTGCCAGACAACTCGGGCAAGGCATTTCCCGCTTTGCCCCAGCCCCAGTCTGAGCACCCAACGAACAGTGACATTCAAAAGTCAATTCAAGACCTCGCATCTATGATGTGTGGCAAAATCGATACGCTAACACAAGAAGTGAGTGGACTCAGTGACAAACTAACGAATTTGGAACAAAGTGTTGAATTTAACTCTAACAAACTGCACGATATTGAAACGACCGAGCTGCCAATTCTAAAAGCAAAAATGAAGGAAGAGATACAAAAAATGCAGGACAAAATGTTGTCACTAGAGATTTACAATAGAAAGCAAAACCTTCTCTTATATGGAGTACACGAGACCGAGCAGAGTGAGGATACCATGACGAAAACAGTCCATTTAAACTTCACCCCACTTTGGACCCGAAAGTGGGGTGCATTTTGGTGGTAAGCTCACCACAGAGCAAGAGAGAGTTAGAGTCCCTAATCTGCAGTATAAACAAACTTTGTCAGGACATCGCCAGCCCAACCTTGATAAGTACTGCTTGGAACTCCTCCATGATGTTCTAGTCTTATTCGCAGTCTCATAATAAGTTCGGATTATGTCCATTCTCATAGCTACCGGTATACATGGGAGATGCCAGTTTCATCTTCCTTGCTTCACTTTATAAGCATAGTTATATCAGGAACTTCCTGGTTATAATTATGTTCCTTTCAAGTTTCATCATAATTGTCTAGTTCGATATAGTACATGGACACAATTAAATATGATATTGTCTAAAATTGTCAAAAATATCTTAACATCGAAATGATTTCTGGTCATGTTTAACTATTTTAATTGAAGCCTTTTTACTTGATCTAATACTTTTATGAGGATGACATAGTCCGCAATAAACTTGACAAACATTATCATCCATACTATATGTCGTAGTTTATAACAATAATTACTCATGACCTTACACTACAAGGACAACATTCATCCAGATTCTGAGATTGCTCATTCTCACGAAGCTTGGTGTACGCGAAGATATCGGGAAAGAAAGCGGTCTGTAATACCAGACACGCAAGTGGGGTATTTCGGTCCCCGTTCACCGAAAAGTGAGATTCTCCATTTGAAAGTCGGGTAAGGTCGACAAATATAGCCTCTGTTAAAGGCGTTACTCCGCCACCAAATTTATTCGCATAGACGAAATAAACTCGAACGCGTTTAGAAAAATGGTGTAGGCCTAGGCCTATAAGGAAAGGCCGGGAAAACATACATTTTGTTGGTTTGACCGTTAAATATTTTTGAGGTATTAAAGCAAGAATAGAATGTTGTAAATATTGTTTTCGTTACATTTATTCCGTGCGTAATCTCAAGGTCTACTCAACTTTCTTTGCCTATTTCTTGCCCCCCCCCCCCAAACGGCAGATCAAGGATTTGAAAATAGGGGTAGGGGGGGGGGTGGTTGTTTGGGCAGACGGCATATTTCTTGGAATTCGTTATAAATACGGTATTTAAAAAAATGATGATTCTGGCAAGATAAGAATTGAATTTCATCAAACTTTTATTCAATTTAATATGATCTGTATACGTATAGGATACAATATTTATTTCCCCACAACACATCAAGCCGTGATGATTGAATGTCCATTGCATGTAACATGAAAGAAACAGAAACTCTCAAATCTACAATCCTTTAGAAAGATAATAATTAGCCGAGTAATTAGGGCATTACAAGACATCGAAGGACTTAATCTATTTTACAATAGTTGATGCAACCATAATGGAACATTATGCTTCTCGATACTGAGGATATGAAATTTCAGCACAAGTGTATTTGGTTTCAAAATTTTATAGCAGTTCGTTAAAGAAACATTTCGATGCTCACTTGTATAATAAATCTCTATGACAAGCTCATTTTTATCACGACAGTTAAACCTTTTCACTTTTTGATACTAGTAAAGATTGTTGAAGAATTGCCTAATTGACTGCTCGGATGATTTTTTACCTTTCTCCGAAACCTCTTGGTTTTTTGCTCATGATTATAGCGCATTATTCTTTTTGTCACTGTATGTATTAATAAGCAAATACATATCTGCACAACGAACGTCTTTATGATTATGATGTCCTCGTTTCGTTGTATGTTATAAATTCAATATCATGACGAGAAGTGCGTCAAAAATATCTTAACATCAAAAGATTTCTGGTCATGTTTAACTATTTTAATTGAAGCCTTTTTACTTGATCTAATACTTTTATGAGGATGACATAGTCCGCAATAAACTTGACAAACATTATCATCCATACTATATGTCGTAGTTTATAACAATAATTACTCATGACCTTACACTACAAGGACAACATTCATCCAGATTCTGAGATTGCTCATTCTCACGAAGCTTGGTGTACGCGAAGATATCGGGAAAGAAAGCGGTCTGTAATACCAGACACGCAAGTGGGGTATTTCGGTCCCCGTTCACCGAAAAGTGAGATTCTCCATTTGAAAGTCGGGTAAGGTCGACAAATATAGCCTCTGTTAAAGGCGTTACTCCGCCACCAAATTTTCGCATAGACGAAATAAACTCGAACGCGTTTAGAAAAATGGTGTAGGCCTAGGCCTATAAGGAAAGGCCGGGAAAACATACATTTTGTTGGTTTGACCGTTAAATATTTTTGAGGTATTAAAGCAAGAATAGAATGTTGTAAATATTGTTTTCGTTACATTTATTCCGTGCGTAATCTCAAGGTCTACTCAACTTTCTTTGCCTATTTCTTGCCCCCCCCCCCCCCCCGAAACGGCAGATCAAGGATTTGAAAATAGGGAGTGGCCGGGGCTCAGATGTCAAATTTGAAATAGGGGGGGGGGGGGTGGTTGTTTGGGCAGACGGCATATTTCTTGGAATTCGTTATAAATACGGTATTTAAAAAAATGATGATTCTGGCAAGATAAGAATCGAATTTCATCAAACTTTTATTCAATTTAATATGATCTGTATACGTATAGGATACAATATTTATTTCCCCACAACACATCAAGCCGTGATGATTGAATGTCCATTGCATGTAACATGAAAGAAACAGAAACTCTCAAATCTACAATCCTTTAGAAAGATAATAATTAGCCGAGTAATTAGGGCATTACAAGACATCGAAGGACTTAATCTATTTTACAATAGTTGATGCAACCATAATGGAACATTATGCTTCTCGATACTGAGGATATGAAATTTCAGCACAAGTGTATTTGGTTTCAAAATTTTATAGCAGTTCGTTAAAGAAACATTTCGATGCTCACTTGTATAATAAATCTCTATGACAAGCTCATTTTTATCACGACAGTTAAACCTTTTCACTTTTTGATACTAAAGATTGTTGAAGAATTGCCTAATTGACTGCTCGGATGATTTTTTACCTTTCTCCGAAACCTCTTGGTTTTTTGCTCATGATTATAGCGCATTATTCTTTTTGTCACTGTATGTATTAATAAGCAAATACATATCTGCACAACGAACGTCTTTATGATTATGATGTCCTCGTTTCGTTGTATGTTATAAATTCAATATCATGACGAGAAGTGCGTCAAAAATATCTGAACATCAAAATGATTTCTGGTCATGTTTAACTATTTTAATTGAAGCCTTTTTACTTGATCTAATACTTTTATGAGGATGACATAGTCCGCAATAAACTTGACAAACATTATCATCCATACTATATGTCGTAGTTTATAACAATAATTACTCATGAACCTCACACTACAAGGACAACATTCATCCAGATTCTGAGATTGCTCATTCTCACGAAGCTTGGTGTACGCGAAGATATCGGGAAAGAAAGCGGTCTGTAATACCAGACACGCAAGTGGGGTATTTCGGTCCCCGTTCACCGAAAAGTGAGATTCTCCATTTGAAAGTCGGGTAAGGTCGACAAATATAGCCTCTGTTAAAGGCGTTACTCCACCACCCAATTTCGGAACAGCTTGCCACATGCAGTATCGTGAATGCGCCCGGCACTCTGAGCAGCCGTTTTTCAGTGTATTTTCTTTTAGTGTTCTTAAAAATTCGCCGTGTCGTTTGATCAAAGAGGTACTGGGCAAGCTTGCCTATTAATGATTTGGTTCAATACATAAGCCATCTAACATTTATGTTTCAAGGTAATGATTATATTTATGCAGAAAAACTAAAATACTTGTGACAGTGCGATTATTTCAAGTCGCCCTTTTTAGGTTATTATGCAGCAACATGACCAATCAAAGTTTGGTCCAATTAACTTCTTTATCTTCTTGTATTAGATACCAAACTTGTATGAACATGAAGTCGAGACGTATTTTGTGTTTTGCTTTGATACAATGTTTATTTGATTATGCTAATGCTGCTTGGTACAGTAGTCTGGGCAAGATGGAT